AAAGCCTACTTTGAAAGAAAAAATTGGAACTCTCACTACTTTTGGTACGCCCTAAGTAGCTGTACTGCTGAAGATACACCATACAACAAGTTTTGAAAATTCCGTGGTTTTGCTTAAGGATGGTGCAGAGTTGAACAACTAAAAATAGGTTCCAAAGGTATCTTTGTCATTCGATTCGGGAAAGAAGATACTGGTCTGTGAGTCCTCACCGTTAGATAGAGGGCAGTTTGACCATTCTAAAGCACTACTATTAGTTGAGCCCTTCAGGAATGTCAAAAAAAACGCGTTTTTCTGTAGCAATTTTTCAAAACCCAGAACACAATGACCAAAAAGCTCCGCTTATGAATGTGGGTGTGGTGGTGTGTGGGTGTAGTTATCGTTGTGGATAAAGAACACCCACACCCACACCCCACTTTGCTTTCTAGGCCAAGCCCTAGAAGCTCAGAAAGTTTTATGCCATTCGGAGAAAGTCTATGTAAAATCTGGTGCACTTCCGAAAGAATCATCATATTACTTTTAGGTAGAAACTGTCGGGTTAGCCTCACAAAAGAAACCGGTCTCTAGAAAATTTGTAGACTCTAATCTAGTGTGTTCTATCATCGGATTTTTGCCACTATCCACAAGTACTGATGGTTAACTCGTACGCCCTGTAACACATTATATCGAACGGTCTTCTGATGGTTTTTGCTCCGTTTGCACCACATAGATTTCTATAAAGTTAGTTTTTATATTAAGGCAAATGCTCATTATATCGTGGTTTGTTGACTGATTCAATCATTCGTTGTTTTGTTCCATTGGTCGATATATACAGCATATTTCGAACAGTTGATCGTTCACAATATGAATTTCCATTGACAAAAGCAAATATCGATGATATTGTTGCTTTATCTAAACCCAAAGATATTGATATCATTAACATCAGATCCAAAGAAGAATTTTTTGATCGATTCATAAAACAAATAAATGAATGGCTTAATTGGTTTGATCGATTTGTTGATATTTTTCAACATATTATCGATTGGTTAAAAACTCATAATGTTAATCGTTCGAATCAAGTATTAATAGATTTAATAAGAGCTCGTGATGATCATAAAATAACTTTGATTCAAGTGAGAATAACTGTTGATGATACTTTGAAACTCTTACAACCTTTTAAAGATATTCGACGTCTTTGTCAACTATTCAATTGTTTAATTCCATTTCAAATTCTTAATCCTGGAAAGTTAGATACTCAAGGTACTACGACAAAATTTCTTACAGAATTAAAACGTTTTCAAGCAAACAATACATTTACAGTAGAAGGTAAAAGACTTTGTGAACAGAATATTTTTATAAACGATCGTCAACAAGTTCAATGGTCACTAGCTAGTGAAAATCAACCATGTGACATTACTGTTGAATATCGAAGTTACGGAGCGAATGATCAATATAAAAAATTATTTCAGAAAGAAAATGTTTCTATTCATAAACATGTACTTCATGGTCAATTTGAAAGTCAACGTAATGGTCAATTACTAATTACCATTGATAATAGAAATAGTCAAATTCCTCGAATTATTTGGTATCAAATCAAATCTATTGGTTTATCAACATGTCACTTGTTTCATGGTATATTCGATATATATTTTAATAAATGTTATGAACAAAGTTCTGAAATCGTTCTTGAAGAGGATTTTAGTCAATTACTCGACCGAGTATTTGATTTTATAAATAAACTTTTAAATGGTGATATAAGTTTGAGAGCAATGACAGAATTACGAGCTATTTTCTGTGATAAAAATATAAATATTCGAGATGAAGTGAAAAAATTATATATGAATCGTTCAAATGAACATAATAATAATCGAGCAAACATGCTAATTACTGCTGTACAATTTCAAAAGATTCAACCAAATGAAAAAGAAATTGAACAAGTTTGTGAATGGTTACAAATTTATCAATATTATAGTCATATTAATGTTATTATGAAATGTATTGAAAAATTCGATCTTTTACCATCAGATAATGAAGACATGAAAATTGGTCATTTAAAACACTTGAGTGGTAATGAAAATTGTTCATTAAGAGAAATAACTCAAGCTTATAGAATTTTACAAGAATGTTTTAAAACTTTAACTCATCAACATTTACAATTAATTAAAATAGCAGTTGAATGTTCAAATGTTATTCATATGATGAAAAAAGCTGATCTTTATTCTCAGCATGGACGACGTCGTTTTCAAGAATTACGAGATAATTTAACGACACAATTTCAATTACAAGAATTAAATAATATGATACTAAATTCATGGATCATAACATATACATTAATTGAACCATTTATGTTTAAAGCAAAAAATTTCGATGATTTCGTTCTTCGTATTGCACAATTAACGAATATAGAAGGAAGTTCACTGAATCATATCAAAAGTAAGCTTCAGTCATAAGTAGACGCTTAAGTAGATACTTTAACCGATGTCTGAAGACTTTTTATGATCTTGTTGTAAATTCTCTCACTTTCGGAGAACTTTAGAATAGAAAAGAAAACAATAGTACTAGAGGAATACTAGTGCACTTCGCAATATGTCGAACAACTTGAGAATAATAGCATGTTGAGACCTTCGATTTTCATCCTTCAATAGGGAAGATTCAGAGCTATCAAACCCTGTCGAAATTTCAATGATCAATTATTAATCAATCAGATCATTTCTTGATAGAGATTTTCCACAAACGGTATTCTAAAGTTATTTTCTTTTAGATTCAGGCTTTTAAAATTATTACTCGATAGGAAATATTCGTCTCTTTTCATCAATGCCAACGCGGCCTTCATAGCAACCTCTATTCGAGAATTATAAGAATATTTCTGAAACTCCTCGAACTCAGTTATTTCATCTGTGATCACACGAAAAAACAGAAGTATTGAGATAACAGCATTGAATTTAATCGAGTTCAAAATTAAATTTTACTATTCGACTGAGCTTGTTGAATTACCGAGTCTAGCCGTTTTTCAGGGTAATCACAGATCAAACGATTGAAATCGAGGTATTCCAGAAGGATACATTAGAAGAACCCGGAAATTCGATCCTAGGTGTCTGACATATTTATGTAACGATCAGTGGCTTACGTCCTTAGCTGTAAGATATCAATTCACGAAGTAACGCTTACAATTTAAAAGAGATTTCTAGAAGCCACTATGATCCACGTTTTCTTATGGCTATCAATTTTAATACATGAAACTTGAAAATATCAATGAAATGTTTATATTTTCTAGTAATTAATGATAATATGCAACTTGTAACACTGTGGTTATCAGCAGAAGAGACGACAGTATTAGATAATGCTTTGATTACTATGGAACATTTATTTAAAAATGGAACTGTTGATATTCGTTTACGACGTTTAACAAGACAGCAATCGTATTATGAAATTGGTTATTCAATTGATCGTATTCAAGTTGGAATGAAAAAAGTAAGAGATGAAAATGATGCGAACCAACAAAGTAAGGAGAACGATGGAATTGAAACGAAAAAAATTCAATTTCAATTATCAATGTCGGATATTGATGATCATAAACGTCAACTAACATTTTGTAATGTTGATGTTCAACAAAATTTAATCTACAAAAAAGCTTTAATTAATGGACAATTGAAATTATTAAAAACGGTTGAGAATATCTATCATATGTTTATTAAATTAGAATTAGGTGGCCATCCGGATTATCAATTACGAGATGAACATTATGAAATACATCTTCAAGAAAGTAAGAACATGTTTTCAGATCAACGATAAAATTTGTTTTTGAAATTTCTTTTCAGTTCAAGTTGCGTCTATGTTAAGTGATTTACGAAGCCATCAAAATGCTCGACTAGAAAATGCTATTCAGACTCAAATTCAAAGTTTAGAATTGATATACCATACTTTGAAAACTGCGTATGATAAATGGATACAAAATTTGAAGAAATACCGTCAAGAATGTTCATTATTGAAATTATTTTCTAATCGTGAAATTATGATTTTAATTATTTTACTTCGAACATCAAATGCCCCGAATTCTATTCGAAGGCGTCTTTTTAAAAAATTATTTGAATTTGAAGATTTAAAGAACCAAAATGAAGAAGAACAAAAATTAACTATGCATTGTCTTGCACATTATCTTCGTTCTCTAAGAATTTCGCACGTCAATTTAACGACCGATAATCTTCGTCAACTCTATCAAAAACATCTTATTGATGCCGGATCAAATACTGATGTATGCTTACAAAAATTAGCACAATTTCTTCAAAATCTATTCGAAGATAATAGAGAAATATTTGAACAAGGACAAATACATGATGAAAATCTACAATTTTTAGTCAGTATTAATCCTCCTGCACCGACTCCAAATCGAATATCTTTTTCACATGATTTCGATCTCGATACTTGTTGTATTCTTTTGAATATCTTTCAAACTCAATTACCAGCTTCCTATCAAATTCTTTGGTGTTCAAATACCACAGAAGAAGATATTCATTTATTTTTTTCTCGTATACGAACATTTACCTCTCTTACTTTTGCTATTATGGATATTGATAAAATGCATCATCGTCTTCGAGAAATACTTTTTAATGAACAAGACTTATTGACTCGTGAAAACAATATGCATGCTCAGGTATTTTATTTTTCACGCGAATTAACAACTGGACGAAAAGGTCTAAGAGAATTTCAAATACCAATTATATATAAAGATCCTGATCAAAGTTATCAACATCTAATAAATCTCTTTAACAAACATTATACAATACCAGCAAACATTCAAATAATCTACGGTAAAGTTGGTATTGGTAAGTACATAGTTTTCGTTATTTTAAAAACAAAGAATTCTCATACTTTTTTGTTTCAGGTAAAACTCATCGTTTCAACAAAGAATATAAGACTGATCGTACGTCATGTTTTAGTATAAATGACAAATTAAATTTTTCGTTATTAATCAGTTCATTTCTTTCATTTAATTCGAATATGATTAACGATGATCTATCGATCTTTCTCAATACATCCATTCATGCACCATTTGAAACTTTAAATCGAACATTATTTTCCCTTTTCATTTGTGGTTGTTTAAATGATTCAACCAGTGGTCTAATATTTTCTTTGCCACATACTCAAACATGGAAATTTATTATTGAAGTTCCTTATTCGGATGTTACTGATGTCAGTGTTCGAGACAATTTCAATCAAATTTTACCAATTCTTTCCATTATTTCTTCATCAACGTTAGAAGAAGTTACTTATGAAAATTATCAATTATCTATCAATAAAGAAGAAGAACTTGTAGCTCGATTCTTAAAAGCATTTGAAGATCAAACAATTGATCGTATTGTAGAAAGGACAAACACTGGTCATGAAATACCCGTTAGTTTTGAACCAATAACTAATGCTGATGAATGTCGAAGATATATTTATAACTCTATAGAAAAATATGCTCGAGAATTACCCAAAAATAAAATTTATGAACTTTCATTTGTGAAATTTTTATATCGTCGTGTACGTTTCTTTGAAGGACATTATTATTGTTGGAATCAACGTATTAAAAATTTAGGTAGTATTGTTATGCAACAAATGATTAACGAAGCAAAATCTTTAACACAAATCAATTTTCAAGATATACAATATCCGCGTGTTTACCTTGTTTATGATCCAGAATTTGCTTTACATTTATTACATTCTGATTGGAATCATGTTTCAAATGAATTAAAAAGTCTTTTTCATCATCGTGATCCATTAAAATCCATTGAATATCAAAATAAAGATTATTTTGCGGAATGTTTAGCATGGTTAATTGATATTAAATATGAAACATTTATGAAAATTCTTAATGAAACAAAATTTATTCTAACAGAAAATTTTGCTTATAAACTGTTTCATGTACATGAAAGAAAATTAACAAAATTAGCTTTAATTATTGAAGGGGATACTGGTGTAGGAAAAACATTTCTTTTGAAATTCTATTCATTATTATTAAATTCGAAGTCTACGGGTGGTTCTCTTCAAGGAAATATTATTTCAAAAATTCTAGAAAATTCTAATCAATTCTTACTAAGTATTATTGAAACGATAATAGAACCACAACCAAAAATTTTGAATGTATTTCTTCAACGAATCAAATCAAAAATTGTAGGAAATGATGATGAAGATGAAGCTGAAATTCTCAATCAGCGACCAATGCAATTACCAGTTCTAACTGTTACAGCACAACAACAACAAAATAATGAACCGATAGATGATGCTCTATTAAAACAAATAAAACAGCTTTTAAAAAATCATCAATTAAAGAAAACTATTTTATATCATATTTGGAGAACGCTTTTAAGCGTTTCAACTGAAAACGCTACGGTTTTACAAGCAACTTTGATTAAAAGTTTACATGATTATGTTACTAATGAATTAATCAATTATCCACTAATTGAAAGTAGTTGTCGACTTCAAGAGTTACTTCAAGACATTTCTTCTTCTGATGCTGAAACAACCATTGAAATATTCAAAGAATATTTATTTAATAGTAAAATAAAACCTTTATTCTATCGTCTTCTTTTACATCCTGGTGTTACTGAAGAACAATTAGTTGAATTCATGTCTCCAATTTCTCAATTGGCTCGTGAATTACCAGAAATAGAGATCGTCGTTTTTTTTGATGAAGTCAATACAGCTTCATGTCTTGGTCTATTCAAAGAGATGTTTATGGATGGGACATTACGTGGTACAAGTATTCCGAGCAATATCTTCTTTACTGCTGCTATTAATCCATTTATGAAAATTGAAGAAAAGACAGAACAAGTTTATCGTACTGATTATATTGTTCATGAATTGCCACAATCATTAAAATGTTTAAAAGTTTCCTATGGAACCTTAGAGTCTAAAACATTAGCTGATTATATTACTCGAAAAATAGCCATGTTTCAAGTTAATTCATCAGTAAAGAGTGGTACAACGATGCCATTAGAAATTTATCTTCGAGATACATTAGCTGATTCAATTTTGAAAGCACAAGAGTTTTGTGAAATAAATCTTGGTATTGTTTTTTTTTAGAAAGTTCATAAGATTTTCTTTTGTATTTTTATTATATTTTCTTTTTTAGGACATAATTCTGTTTCACAACGAGAAATTCAACGATGTTTTAATTTAATCAATTTCTTTTGGACTCTGCGATATGATGATGAACTTAAGTTTGGTCAAAAAACTGATTTTTCCAATCCTATGCGATGTATCGCTTTATCAATCGCTTTAACCTATTATTTTCGACTTCCAACAAAAGAAGATAATTTACAACGTAATGATAAAAAATCACCATCACGAGAACAATTAGCTGAACTTCTTAGTCACCCTATACCAAATTTTGATTATATCGTTCAAAATGAACTCGAACGATTTGTGAATACTGATAATTTTATTATTCCACGAGGAGTAGCAATTAATAAAGCTGTATGCATTCAATCTTGTTATCTTTTCATTTAGTAATCGATTCTCTTTTAGGTTCGTGAACATATTTTTTCTATTGTTGTCAGTATTGTCACACGAACAGCTTTATGTATCATTGGTGTTCCTGGTAAATAATTTATTCTAATCTAACTTAAATCAATCTACATTTTTTCCTTATGATAGGCCAGTCTAAAACATTGTCTTTTCAAATTGTTCTTCAAAATCTTCAAGGTGCACAATTATCAGCAACACCATTCTGTAAACGTCTTCCTGCTATTAATCCATTTTTTTGTCTTGGATCGAAATATAGTCGTTCCGAAGATATTGCTTCTATTTTTGAACGTGCTATCAAACGTGAACAACAATATGAACAAAATCGCATGAATACACGATGTGTACGCTCAAAATTATTAATCAATCTTATTCTATTTTTGTTTTTATTTATTTAATTTTCAATTTAGGTTGTTTTCTTGGATGAAGCCTCATTACCGGATGAAAAGAAAATGGTCTTAAAAGTTTTACACCCTTATTTAGACGAATGTAAAGTAGCATTTGTTGCAGTTGCTAATAAAGCATTCGATGCTGCTAATGCCAATCGAATGATTTGCATTTATCGTTCGTTACCATCCGAAGAAGATCAGAAAATCTTAGCTTATGGTTGTTTGGGTTTGCAATTAGAACAAAGACAATTATCTCTGAATGATCGTCTTGATAAGATTATTTGTGGTTTATGTCAAGGCTATCGACGAATTCTTCGTTCACCAGATATACCTCATATATTTCATGATCGTGATTTTATTTATATGTTAAGAGAATTAAGATTTGAATTGATGAATTTAAATGAAGTTGAACAAACCAATATCGGAGAAATAACACAACGAAGTTTATTACGAGCGTTAGAAGATAATTTTAATGGAGTTCGGATCGAAGAATTTGATAAATTAGTCAATATTTTTGCTACAGCTGTTGGAGAGCAATGTCCTGAGTTTCGATCACTAATTACTGAAAAACAACAATTTCAACGCAATGTTCCAACAATTTTACGTAATTCGATGAAATTAGATCCAATTCGTCGTCGTCTTTATGGTAGATATAAATTAATTATTGATGAATCCGAAGATGAAAGTGCTGTTCGTCTTCTGTTTCAATGTGGTATTCTCAGTTCTGATCCAACTCAGACAACAGTTTTTCGTATGTCTGATTTCCCCGATGATATCGATAATGAATTACGAAATGTTGAAATCTTATCAAATATTAAATTGTGCATGGAAACAGGCAAAACTATCTTAATGATTAATACAGGTCGTATCCATGATTCACTCTATGATGTTTTCAATCAGAATTTTTCAATTATGGCTACTGAAGAAAGTAGAAAAATCTTTTCCAAAGTAGCAATTGGTCCGAAAACAATCGATGTCATCGTACATGAAGATTTTCAATGCATTGTTCATATAAAACGAAGTGAATTCAAAGATATTCCAGCACCATTTTTAAGTCGTTTTCAAAAATTTTCTTTTAGTATATCAGATTTTTATTCAATTCAATTACGAGAAATTCCTATTGAAGAACAAGAACTCTTGCGAAATGTAGAAAAAAAAGCTAAATCATTTATTGATCACTTTGGAAAAGAATATTTCTATGGATTAAATAATGAAACATTATATTCATGTCTTTCATCATTTATTAAAAGAAATGTTCAAGGTGAACTTTATTTATCAAATATTTATGAAGATTATAATCAATTAACAATTCAATCGAAACCATTCATCGAACAAGATATAAATGATAAAAAAACATGTTTTCTGTTTTATATTATATCGAAACTTTTACAATTAGCTTCACCTGAATCAATGATTTTTAAATTACCAACATTTGATGAAAGTACTGCTCGATCATTATGTCAACATTATTTTTATCAACAAGAACATTTCAATCTTGAAAATTTTCTTTATCAAATGATTTCTACTTCAACATTAGCTACTAATGATAATGAATTATTAACAATGAACAATAATTTCGAAAAAAACCTCAGTAATATTAGTATTACAAGAAAATTAATGATATTTACTCGAACATCATCATCTGTTATTAGTTTAAATCAACAATCAAAAAATGATTTATTCCGTACAAATGATGAAAATGATACAATGACGTATATTGGCAGTAAAGTCGATATTATTAATCTAGTAAGTCTATTAAACACTAACATTCGTATTCTGATATCTCTCGGTCAAAATCAGACTGGTGTGGAAACATAACTAAGTGTCGCAATCAGATAAAAGATAACACCTACCCATAAATGGAACTAGTAGAAGACTTTTTCCATGGGTTTGGGCTTGGTTCGGGTCTGAAATTTTATTTTTTGCTAGATGCGAATCTCCTCAAATGAAAAAATGAATAGTAAAACTAATTGTGCTTTAACTTTTCTTTTCTGAGAGCAGCCAGTAAATAGGAAAAAAACATTGATCGTACACTCAATCATGTACACAGAAGGTGTGAGGATGCTGATTCTTGCGTAACCCTTGCCAACACCTACCCTTGAACATAATATGCGTGTTTTCTTCTTTTGACCATTCGACTCAAAATATCAATTTTTCTTCAGGCGATTATTGAAAACTCCAATGAATTAATTGAACAATTTCAAACATTTGAACTATCAAATCAAAAATCAATTCTAATTACTGTTATTGATGGTCGTATGAATCAACAACGTATACATATTCCATTTGTTCGACAATTAATAGATAAAACCGATCTTTCTTGTAATAAATCATCTGAAAATCCATCAAAATTTTTTATTATTCTAATTCATTCATCTGGGCAAGAACTTAATTATAAAGCATGTTTTTCTTCGATATTCTTACATAATTGGGATTATTGGTTTCTTGATACTTCAACAACAAGTAATGCATTTCATTTACAAAAAATGTTACAAATCTTTACTTCAAAAATCGGAATAACTCATCAAAAAGAAGCTTTAGATAATTCTTTTTATGATTTAAATATGCTTTTTGATGATTGTCTATATGATTTTTGTTCTCGTTTACAAATTAATGTTCTTAAATTATCCGAAGATATGTTTAATAATCAAAACGTGTATGAATTCTATCAACGTCAAACATCAACTTGTCGACGTTTACAATGTTTAAAAAGTATTTTTCAAGAACTCAATGAATTACAGAAACATATCATAACAAGTTATCATGAAAAGGTTTCAATGAAAGAAGATTCATTACGAAAAAATTGTAATTCAATTTATAATCTTGCAAAAGATACTTTATTTGGAAAATGTTTAACTGGTCTAGTAGATTCTTTATATTCACATATAAGAATATCTTTTACAAATTTTGTTTCATTTATTTTGAAATATGTTATTGATGATTATGGATTAGAATCTTTAACTAAATTATCAAGTAAAGATGATGATTATAGTAAATTACTTGAACTAATTGATTATTCATTATTCTCTGTTAATGATGAAAATCAAACTATTCCTATGATGCAAAGAATAATAACATTAAACGATCATTATTCTTGTATTCCTCAAACTCCATTATTCTATTTATGCCAACAACGTATCAAAAATTTAGCAGATAAAATCAAACCTAAATTAGCAGATCAACAAAACCAATTCAATGGTTTGATGTTTTTCTAATATTTACAAAAAATTTAAGTCAAGCTAGATCTTAAAAATCTCGATTTTTGAAATGAAGTCATCTAACAGATATTTTTCTTAAACATTTTCGATGAGAAAAATATGACGGAATTCCTTTTATGATACTCCTAATAAGATATCTTTGTGTTAGACTGACAATTATAGGCAACCTGCTTCCAGTCTGAAGAAATATTTGATTTACAGAAAAATGTCCTGTTCAATTGCCATTGGTTCTTATTTTTATCTGTCATGTACTTTCCGATATATTTTATAAATGAAAACAGCTAACTTTTCTGCTAATCATTGTAATCAAATACAAGATATTGACATCCTTGAACGAGCTATCGAGATACTGTGAAAGTAACAAATGTATAGATTTGATGATATCTATTCTTAATCATATCTAACTAATGTAATCAGTTATCTTCCCTACTAAAATTGTCCTTTCTACTATTTCGCAATGAATTCAAGTATTTCAATATAAGTTGGTTCTTGAAAAGTATGAGACTGCAAAGCAAGTGGATATTTTTAACGCAACTTTACATGCGAGACCTTTCAATGGAGCATCTGAGTTTCTATTTTCCTGCCTTCCGACACGCCATTAACTAAAAGATTTCCTGGGAATCCCTAAATATTACAGATCCATCTTGAGTCATCTGAAATTAGGTCTTAATAGAATTGATTGAGATAGCTCAGTTATGTGACAATCTTTATTTCAGCTCTTGAACCAATCGCAACCACGACAACTAGTTTCTTGAAATTTAAGGTTGTCCTGTTACAAAGAGATTAAATAATCAATGTATGAAAAATTTTATTCCCTTGATTTTAGATTAGTTTCGATGCTATAATAAAGATTGTTAATGGACTAAGCTTGACAAATAATCCTTATCAAAACTTGTTTAAATGTTATTCAGGGTAAAAGGTTTGAAGTCAAAAAGCTCTGAAAACATCTATATCTTTCGAACAGAACAAGATAGATAAATGATCTTGTCCAGATGCAAAGAAAACAACTTTATTGATCGATTAGCCGTACTACAAGTCAATATTATAAGAAACGCCTTGAAAATTTTGTTTTCAAAAATATTGACCAAAAACTCTGCTGATTAGCCGATTTTTGATCAATTGAATTTTATATGACTTGTAGCCAAATTATTTCTTTTTCAAAGGGGTGAAAACCAATGGCTTATATCTTGTAGTATTGAACAAAAATATAAGAGCAACATATTTTTGCTCTTTTTCTGTGACATCAAGCATTTAACTCAAATTCAAGTCCTAATTTAAATAGTCGATGTAGTTTCCTATCAAATGCGTTTTTTGTTGAACTAGTATCAATGACATAGGAGAAGAAGGTTTCTGAAAAACTAAAAATGGTGGTTTTCAAGCTCTACAATATTTTGTGACCATTTGTTTGTGAAGAGTATCAACTTAAAGAGATATAAAATCCTGAGTAGAGTGATGAGTCGCTGCATGGCCGCCGACATTGTCTTAATAAGTTAAAGTATCACAAAAAGTGAAACAAAAAGCGAAACTTCTCATAAAATTGCTCAAAGAATACATCTCTTGTGTTATTTTTTGTGATGCTTATAACCTTGCAAGTCCATGCGGTAGAAAATATGACAACCTTTTATTTTACTCAGAATTTTGTGCCTTCAAGCTGATATTCTTCAAAAATAGTTTTCAAAAAAGTATTGCAGAACCTGAAAACTATCGTTTGAGGTTTTTCTTAATAAACCTTTCTTTCATAGGCCATCAATGAAACTTTGATATGGAATGCGTTTCATAGAGAATTAGATGCTTAGTATTGTAGAATAAAACAGAATTTCATTACTTTTATGTTGAGTACTCTACAGGAGCGTAGCCAGGGTGGGAATGCACAGAGTACCTGGTAGAAAACTGCAAAATGGTCCCGATTCCGGTCCCGCGGGACCAATGTCGGGACCAAAAATTATTTTTTACGGGACCGGTGCCAGGACTGGGACTGAAATCATTTTTTAGCTGGTCCCGAAAAATTATTTTAAATAAAAAAAGAACTCAATTGTCTTTTCAAGTCGATTGATGATCAATAATGTCCTTTATTATTTCATAAAAAAAAACAAAAACCGATGTTTTCAAATATCTATTAACATTAACATGTTTATAATATTCACATCTAGACAGATACTAGACTATTTAGACGATTTGTAAGAGCAGAATTAGAAATATATACATAACACGGCGCACACTTATGTGTGACACCGTGATAGGTTTCTTAAAAAATTTTTTATGTTCGCTATTAGAAAAACGGGACCGGGGCCAAAAAAAACGTGGCCCCGCAGTTCCCTAGTGCCTGGGCACCCCCATTAACCAAAAAAACTCCTGGAGGGGAGTACAGATAAAAAATGTTTTTGAGAAATAAAAATTTATTTTACTGCTGGTGTGCACATCCAATAATGAGTCAGCACTCCCCTTGGAAAATTTCTGGCTACGCCACTGGTATTATATAATCCACAATCAATAATACCTTATCTAATCAAGTGGAGAATCATTTCAAGTTTCATTCACTTTTCGTAGTACAAGTGAAACATCAAACTTTTAGCATGAGCTCAATTTCCTCTCCCAGATCCACTGTTTCGATCGCCGGAACCGTTTGTTTCCTTTGTTTTTCGGCAGCGGATCCTATAGATTCCGTTGGTTTTCGGTCGGCTCCGTTGACTTCCGTCGATTTCTTGACTACAGGATTGCGGTCCAGTTTCCACCGGAAAAATTCGGTTAAGTTCCGCAAAATTTCGACCAGAAATTCGTCGGAAATCGACGGAACCGATGGAAACTGATCGGAACTGGTCCGACGAAATCTGGACCGGAATCCTGTAGTAAAGAAATCGGCAGAATTCAACGGAACCGATCGGTTCCGACGTACCGAGCTTGACCTGGGGCTTATCCTCGTATAATATCCACTAATAAAATCATAGCTTACTTATATAGGACTTCTGCTTTCAAAGATTTTGTTTTCACCAATTGAATGTTTTTCTTTTGTAAATGTTTAGAACAAATAGATGATCTTCGTTTCAATTATTATGATCCACAAGTACCTACACCACCAACAAAAGTACACAATAATTTCTATGGCGACAAAAATGAAACAGATAATACACGAGAACAATTTCGTAATGAATTAGTTCGATTGATTACGAACGATACAATCTTAAGCAAAATTATTTCATCATCAATTCTTCAATCATATACTAATGATTCAGTTAGAGTTCTTTGCACAATTATTGAAAAAAACTTTCATGATAATCAAAACGAATGTAAAAAAACAATTGATTTTGTTTCTCGTTGGTTAATATTAATTGATGATGATGAACAAGTTTCATTAAATTCTGCGTTTAATCGTAATACTTGGCTACTTGCTCATGTTTATACATCACTTGAATATGATCAAAATGATCTCCTATCATTATATTCTGCTTGTCGCATCACAGAAAGTCTTGATTTAAATCAATCATTCTACGAAGATTTTTTAGTAGATGAAAAAATTTCACGTTCAAAAGTTCGAGAAAATTTATTTCGATTAATGTTCCATCATTTATGGACTAATCTTTGTCATTTATGTCAAACAAATGAAGATACTAAAACATGGATTCATAGTTATGCATTGATATCAAAATATTATCCATCAGATAAAGTTTTACAACGATTAGAATTTGTTCAAATGAAATTTAAAATTGAATTTATGAGTTTAGTTTATTTAATATTACTCAATGAAAAAACACCACAACCAGTTAAACTTATTCAACGATTATTAAATGAAACATCACTTACACAAGATGATATTGATGGTCATCATATGAATTTCGACGGATCAAGTTGTCTTCAACTCTTACCTACTATTATACAAACAATAGATCAATATTTTGAAGAGAATAATAGTAATAATGGTACATTAATGATGGATATTCAACAATGGATTATTGCAACAATAAAAGTATCGAAAAGATCATCACGTCAAGAAATAATCTCTCTATTGAAATTTTTAAATCAAACCACATGTCATTTATCATTACCAATGAAACAATTTCTTTTTGATGAATTAATTAATATTTTAATTGAAAATAGTCGACAAAATCATTCGAATGTTCATCAACAATTTACTGATGCCTGGGATCGTATTGCTCTGTTGTCAATAATAATGGAATGTATAAATAATGAAAATCTAGAAAATTATCAAATACCTTATCATCCATCTGTTATTAGTAATACAAATCCAAATCATTTGTTAATTGATCTATTTTTTTTTCATCTTCGACGGCTAATAAACGATGAAAGAATTCGACCAAGTTTTATCCATAAAATTCTTGTACCTTTATCAAATATTAATATTATAGATAGAATTCCTATTGCAGAAAACGTATTCAAACAATTGAAAGAATATTTTCTTTTAGAAACTACAGCTTTATTATTATGTCAATCTGATTTAAATAATGAAGATCAACAAAGAATCGATAGTATTCTTACGACTGTTATTAATCAATATTTAAAAATTGAAACACCTTCTGTTCAATTAAGTAAACATGTTGAACATTTCTGTTCAGTTATAATTACCAAAAAATCATGGAATTTTCTTGTTGATCTACTTAAATCAGAACGTATTAACCGTTTAAATACTCAATGGGCTGATACTTTGCATAAACTATTCGCAATAAAATACAATACTCAACATAATAAACATCTACATTATAGTCATCAATTACAATTTACATTAACCACTGATCAGACTTCATCGATTTTTCCTACACTGCATCAACCATATCATGACCTAACTGAAGTAATCGATGAATGTGTCAAAAATACTAATGATGGCGAACAACGTTGGATACCGTTAATAAATTGGATACAATCACAGTTAAATTCAAATCCACCTATTGTCAATGCTACTGAAATAAAAGTAATGCTATTATTAAATATTTATTATAATTATTATTGTAATGCTCAATTAAATTCTCTTAATCATTTATTGATCGTTATTGAACGTACACTTCAACCATGTGATGAAGAACAACGAGTATTTCGTGTTCTTTTACAACCTGAACAACATATGATTGGATATCCAGGTGAAAATAATCCTAACGATAAAAATTATCTTAATGATTTATTCAAACTTGATTATCAAGATGACGAACAGTTACCTATTCGTCATACACTTGTTAATCTATTAGCAATGATTTTACTCAGTGGAAAAGAAAATACTCTCTGGACATTTGCATTTGAACCATTGAAACTTGAAGGAACTTACGGTAAATTTTCATTAATAGGCAGATATCGATCTTTACATAATGTAGCTTGTATTCTATGATAGGTTTTGGATCGACTGCTACTAGGCCTATTCGGCGTAATGGTATTCATTACGATTGCGGCTGTGTTATATCTGAAAAAGGGGAATTACAACAACTCTATGGAGGAAACGAACTCAGTGTTCCAGCTGTTTATATTGCCTTTTTTGCTACATTCGGTGCTATGGTAAGTCTGAAGAATGATAATATCAATTTTAAATATCAAATCTTTGTCATTTCTATTATCTAGGCTTGGTATTTATTATTATTTGAATCATCTGTAGAAAATCTTTATGGTCCTATTCTTGCTAAACAGGCGATTGATGCTACAGCAGTAACAGAACGCATATCTAATGATAATGTTCGAGCGAAGACGTGTTTTTTTGTTTGTACTCGAATTTTATCGACGAATTTTTTCCTCAAGTTTCAATCCAATCAAGATGATACTTGTGTTTTACTTAATCAATGTTTTGAATTATTTGCTCAATATAGTCGTCAACGAGATCTAAATCCATGGATTAAACCACTCTATAAGACAAATATTGAGAAACTTGAAGCTGAAAAAGAATTTCAAAATAAAATTTTCTATCCTACGTATAAAAACTTAGCCGATTATAAACAAATAATTAATACTATACAATCACAATCTGAACCACAGACTAAATTACAAAATTACATATCTCAAATACCTATTATAATTGAAGTTATTCATTTTAAGACTGAATTATGCAATCCAGAATCGAGTCAGTTACCTTTAACAATTTTACGACGATTACTTAACTCATTTGAGTTTCTCAAAATGACTCGATATGTTTACGCTTTAAGTCAATTTCATGTTCTCTTACATCGAACTTTTACTCAATTAATCGAATTAGAAGAATTTTATACGATTACATTAAAACAATTATATGAACGAGTTTATCAATCTTCAAATCGTTTGCGTCAACCCAATCAACAGGATAAATATTATACGATAATTGAAAAGGGTATCGAAGCTGTTAATGCTTATCATACATTTGCTAATGGACAAATTCGACCAGGTGCCTGTGATCTTACTCAACGTTTTGAAACTATTTCTATAGAAACACCAGTAAGCTATCTCGTTGAAACAGATAATTATGATGAAGGAGATATCATTATGCGTATACTAAGGTAAGTCTCACAAAACCATTTTTATCTAAGGAAATTGACGTATAGTCTTAGAAAAAACATTCGGAGTGTCGATCGAAATATTGAAGCACTAACTGTACTGACGTTCGCATTGGCGGAAATATTGAAAGTGCGACTCGTTAAAAACTAGACTCTTTTTGTAGAAATGTCTTTCAGTATATCAGTATGCACTAGCTACATTGAATCAGTGTAGTCAAAGTTTATCAAACTGAAAATGCTCACTGTTATCTATGGTCATTTGGTGATGCATTCATATTTTGCTCATGCCATTATGCTTTTCTTCTCGAATCATAGTCGTCTCATTGAATTTGTAATCGAATACAGAATATTGAGAATAAAATCACAACAAAGAATATCCAACTGGAATTTGTCAGGAAAATACATCTGATGGTTATAATGATATCCTGAAAATTTCATGTCAAAATAATGGTTCCTCCTTAGGATATTAAATTCTTTAATATGTAGACTATTTTTGAGACTTGTGTGAAAAAGTCATCTTTTTTATGAAAATGTGTTATCTCAGAAGAAAAATATTCGTTCGAGCTGTAATTTTCAGAATATCATTATATTTGTGAGATCTGTGACTCGCAAAAGTTCATTATTATTGTTTTTTTCTAATATCCTGCAATGGGCTGAGAACTGTCAAAAGGAAAAAAGAGCAGTTCATAATGGCATAAAGTTAAAACGTTGAGCTTACCTTTTTGCTTATTCATATTTTACAAACTGAGTTCAATCTATAGTTAAAAGTAAATATTAGACTCTGATCAATGGTAAGCTTAGATTACAAACATGATGTAACGATATATATATATATATTTCAATTTAGTGTTCTTATAAATCATCATAATAATCTTCTCGAATTACTCGAAACAGAGATAAATCAAAATGGTGATACTCTTGGTTTAGGTCCATTGAAAGATATAATTAGAGAATTATCCGAAAGAAAAATATCTATTCTACAAATAACTCAAGAAAATATGGGTGTAATTACATTGAATAAAATCGATTGTCAATGGATTGAACAATTATCACGTGCTAGTCTTGAAAATGAAAACGGTTATTTTCTCAAACTTGATAAACCATTAAAATTTAATTTTCTCTATGTTCAATCTTATCTTATTCGAACATATCTTCTCTATTGTCGTATTAATTATCAACATATCAAAGGAAAATATCAATGCTATACTAAACGAAAAGTTCCGATTACAACAAATGATGTTGAAGTCGACAATAATATTGATAAGGATTTTATTGCTCTTTTGGCTGATGAATGGAATCATTTAGAACAAAAAAATCTTGATCAACTTAAAAATGAATTGAATTTTCTTCAACGTATTATGGACGTTTTAAAAAACTTTTCTGAGGATTATTCATCAATGAAACTTTCAGAATTTATTAAATATACTAACTATGATGGTCGATTTTCTGATCAATTTGAACAATATAAAATGAAAGATTTTACTTTATCACAAATCAAAAGTGTCTATCAATTATATGAACGGTCGATTAATCTGATTCAACATGCATATATCAATGTATCTCATTTAATTCGTGTTCCCCTAGATAAGAAACTTAATGATGAACTTGATTATATATTAAAATCATGGTTTATTCTTTCGAATGATCAACCTGAGAAAGAAAAACTTCAAGCCAAGATACGAACAATAACAGAATTTTTAAATGATCTAAAGGATGTAGAACATCGTCTTGATGGTCAATGGGCTAAATCATTTGCAGAAACATGTGAAATTTTAAGTATTGAAAATTCAATTGTATCATTAATACCTAAAGAAATTAAGTGTGAAAACTATGTTCCATTATGTCTGAAATTCATACAAATACGATCTCAATTACAAGAACAAGTGATTGGTATTGAAGAGAAAATAATTAATATCTGGAATGCTCGCTTTGATGTCCCCAATACAGATCAACGAAAAGAAAATAGTTTTAATGTATTCAGAAATAAGGACGATGATATCCTCCGTTTCAATGCAACTTCAAATCCTACAACAGACTCACAACCATCTGCTACTCCAGAACCAACAACTACTAATACAGGCTTAATCGATTGGTTGAAAATAATTGATATTCCAAATGTTCCTGATGAGGCATTGAGACCTTCAGCTGTCTCATCACAAGTAGTCTATGAGAGAACAATCAATTATACATCTCTATTTAAGTTGAAAATAACATCAATTTCATTACCATTATCAGGTATATTTGAAAAAAGTCGAACTCAAGTAGAACAAGCAGTATCGAAAACGTCCAACATGCGTTTTACTATTACATTCACAGATGGTAAACAATTAAAATATCATTGTAAACCAGACAGATTGTATATACGATTAAAAAGCATTTTTGACGAGAGAAGATATGATTTGAACGCGATTGGTATTATCGATCCCAATCAAATATTGGTTGATTTTATGAAAACAACTGTAAACAATTTCTTACCTATTATAGAAACAGAATATTATATTACGGAAAAAACATTATTAACTCCTATTATATTAGAATTTCAAAACAATCAATTCGAATATTTCGTCAAAGCAGAAGCTACAATTACTTCGATTTTGAGTCGTTTTATTCTTGATCAACAATTGGAATTCACACCACCGAACAATTATTTTAGTGTATTTGATTCGCTTGGACGCTATGTTGCTGAAGATTGTCAATTTAATACTATTTATCGATTTGATGAACAAAACCCCGTCCACCTTCAAATTCTCCGATGTAATCAGGATTCTAATATTTGCTGTGAAATAACTCTCACAACAAGTCAAGGTATTTCTTTCATTTAGACCATTAGTTGAAATTTGCATATTTTCTTGGTTATTTTTTTCAGATGAAACAAGAAGTCAATACTTTAATCCAACTACAGCTTGGAAACACATTAGTTTATGGTCGAAAACTCTTGACATCAAGACAAAAACTCCAGTTGATAGTTACTTTTTTTGGAATATAGAACAGAAACATATTATTGATGAAAACGAAACAATATCATATACACTTGGTAAAGCTGAATCTATCAATGTTGATGTAGTCGATGGCGAAAGTGTCATTGACATAATTGTTTCCTATGATAAAAATAGTCAAAGGATTCATATTCTTAATTCATGCCCAGTTCACAGTATTTTAAACAATCCAAAACATCTCGAACAACTAGGTCTAAAGATATCTCCTCAAGATTGTACTTTGGTTTTTGTATTAAACGAATCAGAAAAACAGATTCTCGAAAAATTAGACATGGAAAATCCCATTAGTTACTATGCATCAATGACTAAAAAACCGATTCATTTTCAAATAGCTATTCTTATTCAAATTATTCAGTATGATAATGGAAAAGGCATACTAATACCTATTTCTCATCGAAATATAACAATGAAAGAATTATTAGAAATGATTGAAGTCAAGAATGAATTTAAATATTTAGCATCGTATGAAATTAAAATGATCTTGCCTGAGAATACAATATTATCTATGATAAATGAAACGAAATTTTTCCTTGTAAAAGAACATCAAACATGTCTCATATCTATTCAACAATCAGAAGATGCACTCTTAGCAGTTAATGAAGAAAATATGCGAAATCAACGATATCTTATCAATGCTACTATAAATGATATTTATAAACAAAATGAAAATATTGATCAAAATCAATATCTCGTCTATGCTCGTGATTTTGTTCCATCACGCAAAATGCCATTGAGTTTATTTCTATCTAATAAAAATTCGTTGATTGTATTTAATTTAATCTATCAAAAATTGCAAGCAAATGTTACAGTAACTAGTGATGAACAAAAAAGTCCGATTGAATTTCAATGTGAACCAAATATGACTATTGCTCGTCTTCATCAAATCATTTGTCAATTGTGGAAATTAAACAAAAGACTCTATAGTGTAGCTCTCTCTGATAATTCGATTATTGATGAAGACAATACATTAAATGATATCGATGAATCTATTGATGATCTAAAATTGAAATTAATTTCAATTGCTGATTTAAAATGTGCTATTACTTATCGGGATGGAACTTGTAAGATTTCAGCCACATATGAAACACTTTTATCATCGATTATGAAAGAAGCTTTAGAAACACTCCTGATATCATTAGAAGACATAGATATGTATGAACTGAAAGTATTGGACGATCCGGATAATCCAACTAGTGTCGATCTTGAGTCATCCATCAATGATATTCGCACAGATTTTCATATTGAATCGGATACTCTACCGTTTCTATTAGAAAAAAAAAAAGAAAACGAAAGTTAAAACAATAACTATTTGATTTTTTGTGATTTGAATTAATTTTTTTTTTGTTAAATTTTTCATAAATAACGATTGATCTTTTTAATAAAAATATCATCAGTCATCTTATAAAATCAAATTAATACTATTCTTTTCTTGTTTTTTCATAATTTACTCATGAAGAATTTACATGATTGAAAAATTTCTTTTATTGATGAACTTGTTTACGAGATGCTGCTGTAGAAAAAAAGAATTTATAAGATTTTTCTCCATTTCCTGTGTCTAAATTTTGTTTTCCCGTTTGGGTATTCATCTTAGATTGCAAATGATCATGTACTATAGTTTCCGTTTGCAATAGGATCACCATCCCGAATAGCTGGTTGACAATAGAATGAAGGAGTTTTTTTGTTGATTGAAGACTTTTTTCGTTATTTAGAGAAATTGACCAAAGAAACGAAGTTCTTCATTAAACAATGACGAAATCCTACTTGGATATGGGTACAGTTGTTTTGTTCTTTTCATTCAGATCAATCCGAAAATATCAAAATCACAAGCTTTGATTTCGGTGTATGTTTATGTTTCATATCATTAATTACTTAAAAGCGATCGCTTAAAAGACGAAACTCAATTGGTTCACATTCGGTGCATGATCAAAAATCCAGTTGAAATGCTCTATTTTTAATTTTGAAGGAAATCGAATAAAATCGTCATATATTGAGAATAATTAAAATGGGTGTGGGTGGGTGGGTGTAGGCATGGGTATGGGTTGTGGCTGTGGCTTTGAGCATTGTTTTCTTCTACAACCACACCTCTCAATCACACCCACACTCACATCTGCATCCGCACTCCACACTCACTCACACCCACACCCTATTTGATATTACATAACTTAAGTGACATATTTCAAGGAATTTTTATAATTGAACTAAAATTTTTGAGGAATCATTATTTTATCACTAGAGTAGGCTAACTCTTCCTAAAACTTATTCATAGAACATCTGTTCATTTTTACCATATGTTAGTTAATAATAGACATGATGAATCGGATTAAATGTCAATGTCATTTTTGTTCTCATTCAAGTTCATACAAGAGATTTGTTCATTTAATAATAGCTTCTATTTGCCTGGTTCACTTTCGAATATCCAACGTTATCTGAGAATTGAAAATCTTTTGAAAATATCGCTTATAGTAGTCTTTTAAGGGATGAATTTTTTTGAGTTAAACCTCAGTTGGAAAGTCGTTATTTGAAAAAACAAAAACAATCGTGGAATTTCGTTTTCTATAAGACTAGGTCACTGATAAACCACAGTGCAAATTTCATTGAGAATATTTTCGTTTCATTACAAGCCCAGTGAATTTCTTAATATCAATGTGACACTTTTCGTTCCTCAATTGGAATGTACAGCACATTGCAGTATATTGGTTGCTTCAAAACTAAGAAAAAATCTTTGTAAAAAATTAAATACAGTTTCTTAGAGCTAATCAATTAAGCCGATTCATTAAGATTCCCTCGTTATTTCATCATATTATTTATTTATAATTTTATCTACCTTCAATCTTTCATTGAGATCATTACAAGTATAAAGAAAATTGTCAAGTGTGGATGTGAATAGTGCTTTCCCTCACACCCACACGAGATCGATAGAAAATATCGACTAATTTACTATATGTGAAATTAATCGCACGATCAAAGGAAAGAATCCATAAAATGAAATTTTCTTAACTTTGATCCATAAACTATTTATATGTATAGTTTGAGCGAAATCAGCACATGCAAACAGAAATACAAAGATTTCTCTATCATCACGATAAATATAAAGATATCTTAACATGAACAGAGATGTGCAAAAAAATAAAAAGAAATGATTAAAAATGTAGTTCATTTTCCTTTTTTTTGATAATATAATCTTCACAGCCGGTTAATGACAAGATGAGTATGTTGGTATAAGTTATGCCGGTATTAAATATTTCTATTGTATTACCACTAATACTTTTTCTTAAGAGATATAATATATAAGCCAGATAGAAAAGAAATTGAGATAAACGTATCGATCATTTGTCTACTGTCAACTATTTAAATTACATATATTTTTTTTCCGAAGAATATCATATATAGACTAATATTTATATGTAATCTTGTAGCAATAATTACTCAGTAAGAGTGTTCATCATGTTTATTAATGGTTCAAACGAAGATCCAAGTTATTATATATATATATAATATTATCCTTTTATAGCCAGCAAGCTACATAAGATAAATACAACTAAGAAATATTAACACATTCATCCTATTTGTATTAGATAGAAGATATTTTTGTTTTTAGAGAGTAAATTTTTCAAATCTATAATATTCACTTTTATGTAAACTGAAAATACGTACAATAGTAATGGATCTATGATAACCTTTCAAATTTTATTAAGTCAGGCACATGTTCCTAACAGAGATGTCCATCGCGGCTGACAATCTGCCGCTGCCGCGCCGCGGC